GTGTATGTGTGTGTATATGTGTGTAAGAGTATATGTGTATGTGTGTGTGATATGCAGATGTCTCATTCATAGTCAAGCATTCCACGATTTCTAATTCTCTGCACCTTGACCAACTGTAGGTCTCTGCATTAATCTCCATCTACTGCAAAAGAGAAGCCGCTCTAATGAGGGTTGAGAGATGTGTTGACTTGTTGAGGGCCAGGCTGGACCAGGACTTTTCCTGAGGCCTTGATGTCTGGAGAAGGAACTTAGCTCCTTTTCTAAAACCAGGAAGTAATGGCCTGGGTCCAGGGCCTTGGAGTTTTCAGATCCCGAGCACTCAACTTCTCCCCACTCCTTGAAGGGTTATGGTTGTCAGTTCCAAGGCTTGGTCTGTGTGTGATACACTTGAGATATCCTGTGTTCCCTTTGTGCAACCTCGCTTGATTAGCTTCCTGGTTTTCCCCTTGTATGATAGTTTCCTGCTGGTTCTGTCCCAGCTACCCCCGCAACTGTATGTAAGATGCTGTACTTAATAAACTTGCTTAGAATGGCTTCCTGATCCCAAACTTCCCTGTCTTCTTTATTTTCTCATCTCCTGGTCCTTTCTGTCAGTAACCTGTCACTGAAGAATGAGCTGCTGCTCCAGGTCACTAGTTTATGAGTATAAAGATAAGAACTTAGGGGGCAGTCTATCACTATGTCCATTTAGCAGAATAATAGTAGTACATGCTCCCCTAGGGCTTATAACCTAGCCAGTAATGTCTTCTTGGCCCCAAACAGTACCAGGAATGAATTCTGTTTTGTTGAGTGGCCTTCAAATCCAACCAGAAAGTGGTTGGCTGCTACCCTAACCCTCACACCACTATTGCACAAGAAACCGGTTTACACGTAGAATCAGGTTTGTGAATCTGTCATTTCCCCCTTTTTTTTTTTTTAAATTTTTTTTTCAAGACAGAGTTTCTCTGTGTAACAGTCCCAGAACTTGCTTTGTAGGCCAGACTGACCTCAAACTCACAGAGATCCACCTGCCTCTGCTTCCTGAGTGCTGAGATTAAAGGCGTGCGCCACCACTGCCTGGCAAAAGATATTTGCAAATGGTCGCTTCAGTTCTGTGTTTCCTAGACAATCACCATGGACCTAGAGACTTGATAGACCATGGCTAAGGCTTTTTGCCAGGTGGCTTCCTGGTGTCACACCTGTGTTGTTCCAGGAGATCTTTGACACTGGCGGTCCCAGTCTTCAGATACTGTGACTGGCTAGTAGGTTATGGAGGATCAGCCCGGCCCTGTGAGCCTCCACCGATGGCTTAGTGTCCCTCGTGATCATGGATTTGATCTAATATTTGACAGGTCTATAAAATAGAGGCCTTAGCCCTGGGACTCCTGTGCCTGCAGACCGGAGGCTGAGAACAGAGCAAGCTTACCGAGATCTGTAGAGCAAGCTTACCGAGATCTGTAGAGCAAGCTTACCGAGATCTCTAGAGCAAGCTTACCGAGATCTCTAGAGCCACCTGGGGTCCTCTGGGGCCTCAGAAGGCCAGAATTGTCCTAGGATCTGTTCTTCCTCCACCCAGCTTCCCTCTCCTCCCTCCCTTCTTTCCGTCTCTTTTTCTCTCTGTCTGTTTCTCCCTCTCCTTCTTTCTTTCTTTCTTTCTTTCTTTCTTTCTTTCTTTCTTTCTTTCTTTCTTTCTTTCTTTCTTTCTTTCTTTCTTTCCTTCCTTCCTTCCTTCCTTCCTTCCTTCCTTCCTTCCTTCCTTCCTTCCTCTTTCTTTTCTTTCTTTCTTTCTTTCTTTCTTTCTTTCTTTCTTTCTTTCTTTCTTTCTTTCTTTCT